AGGTGGGAGAAGACGAGGTCCAGGGTGTTCCCATTGATGTGGGTGGAGGATTGGGTGTGTTGTGTGAGCGCGAGTGGAAGGAGGTTAGGTGGAGGAGTTGGGCTGGTAGCTGGGTGTTGTCATTGATGGGGATGTTGAAGTCCCGAGGATGATGGTCGGTAGACTCAGAGGAGAGGAAGAAGGGAAGCCAGGCGGCGAAGTCATCCAGGAAGCAGGCTATGGATCCAGGGGGCCTGTAGATCACTGCGATCCTTAGGGGGGTGGGTGAGAAGAGCCGGATGCAGTGAGCTTCGAAGGAGGAGAAGGTTAGGGAGGGGGGGTTAGGGAGGACCTGGAAGTGCTCAGCGGTGATAAGAGGTCAGGCCGACAGTTGACAGTATGACATGCAGATGAGTGCCGTCGATCTTAGAAATCACCGCACACTTCACTTCATTTGGGCAGTCACAGGGCCAAAACCAGAGTGTGGAGCCACAGTGTGGCTGAGTGGAGGCAGCAGCAAAGGGAGGCCATACAGCACCCCTATGACAAAATGGAACCCACCAGCAGTGTGAGGAGACCTGAAAGTGGCACATGGCAGAGTGTGGCGATGGAGACAGCAGCAATGGAGGCCGTACAGGGACCCATGAGACACTCTGGACCTTGGCAGCAGCTGAGGAGGTGTGGTACAGGGGCCCATGACAGATTACGGGCCTGGCAGCAGCATGAGGAGTCGGTACGGGGGCCCATGGCAGATTACGGGCCTGGCAGCAGCAATGGGAGGCCCGTAATCTGCCAGCAACCCTATGACAAAATGGAACCCACCAGCAGTGTGAGGAGACCTGAAAGTGGCACATGGCAGAGTGTGGCGATGGAGACATGGGCCCCCTGGCCACGCTTGACTTTCTGGCCACATAGTCGACATACGGCTACGTTTACTTCCTCGCAGCGGCTTGACGAAAAAAATTGCCACACCGCCGAGTAGGAAACTTTGCCCCCCGCTACTCCTCACTGGCTGACTGCTACTTCCTCCGTGCACACCGGCACCACTACTGGCCGTGGTGGGTAGGCTGCAGTGGAGCTGGTGCTCTACTCCATGGCCGTTTGCCTCCACTGACACTGCTGCGACCCTGCTGCCTCCTGGGCAACCCACCGACTGTTTTGCTCGCTGCCAAGCTGGCACCCTCTTCTCCTGATGATGCGGAAGCAATAGCTGATGACGACGAGGCTGCCAAGTGCGATCAGCTCATCATCATCAATTAGGGTCTCCGCCTCACTACTAGCCCCCTCGGCTGCGTGTGGGTCAGGAGACAGACCTGTCTCTAGACCGGCTACCGAGCCACTCTCCTCGCCAGTACTTTCTTCGCCTGGCTGCTGAAGAGGCAGATGTCTCCCCCGTTCCTGACCGCCCTCTGTTAGCTCTTCCTCACTGTACAGTGGGGCTGAGCCCACAGCATGCCAGATACTTCGCTTGGTGAGGGAACACCAAAGGACAGGGGCAGGTAGAGGACTCGTGATTTCAGTGGGATTGCTCCCGGGCATTGCCAACTAACGGTTTGTGTTCTGACGTACCCACCGACCGTTGGACTGTAGGTGTCAGAGGTGACCTGGGAAGAGGAAGACGACCGAGCCAACCAATCGATGACGGCAGGGTTGTCGGTGGAGACACGACCACTGGATGACACCGGGAGCACTGGCCTCTGGCTGCGACTAGTGCTGCCTCGACCCCTTCCTCTGCTGCCACGTACTGCTCGCTCCTGAAACATTGCCACCTCTGCCACTCCTCTGCGTGTTGTCTGACATACTCTTTAATTCAACGATTCTGTGTCCCTGAGTAACGATTCTGTGTCCCTGAGTAACAATTCTGTGTCTGTCCCTGAGTAACATTCTGTGTCCCTCAGTAACAATTCTGTGTCCCTGAGTAACAATTCTGTGTCTGTCCCCTGAGTAACAAATTCTGTGTCCCTCAGTAACAATTCTGTGTCCCTCAGTAACAATTCTGTGTTCCTCAGTAACAATTCTGTGTCTGTCCCTCAGTAACAATTTCTGTGTCCCTCAGTAACAATTCTGTGTCCCATGAGTAACAGTTCTGTGTCCCATGAGTAACAATTCTGTGTCCCTGAGTAACAGTTCTGTGTCCCTGAGTAACAATTCTGTGTCCCTGAGTAACAATTCTGTGTCCCTCAGTAACAATTCTGTGTCCCTCAGTAACAATTCTGTGTCCCTCCAGTAACAATTCTGTGTCTGTCCCTGAGTAACAATTCTGTGTCCCTGAGTAACAGTTCTGTGTCCCTGAGTAACAATTCTGTGTCCCTGGAGTAAACAGTTCTGTGTCCCTGAGTAACAGTTTCTGTGTCCCTGAGTAACAATTTCTGTGTCCCTCAGTAACAATTCTGTGTCCCTCAGTAACAATTCTGTGTCTGTCCCTGAGTAATCAATTCTGTGTCCCTCAGTAACAATTCTGTGTCCCCTCAGTAAACAATTTTGTGTCCCTTAGTAACAATTCTGTGTCTGTCCCTGAGTAACAATTCTGTGTCCCTGAGTAACAGTTCTGTGTCCCTGAGTAACAATTCTGTGTCCCTGAGTAACAGTTCTGTGTCCCTGAGTAACAATTCTGTGTCCCTGAGTAACAATTCTGTGTCCCCTCAGTAACAATTCTGTGTCCCTCAGTAACAATTCTGTGTCTGTCCCTGAGTAACAATTCGTGTGTCCCTGTTGTAAACAATTTCTGTGTCCCTGAGTAACAGTTCTGTGTCCCTTGAGTATCAGTTCTGTGTCCTGAGTAACAATTCTGTGGTCCCTGAGTAACAATTCCCTGTGTCCCTCAGTAACAATTCTGTGTCTGTCCCTGAGTAACAATTCTGTGTCTGTCCCTGAGTAAACAATTCTGTGTCCCTCAGTAACAATTCTGTGTCCCTCTGTAACAATTCTGTGTCCCATCAGTAACAATTCTGTGTCTGTCCCTGAAGTAACAATTCTGTGTCCCTGAGTAACAGTTCTGTGTCCCTGAGTAACAAATTCTGTGTCCCTGAGTAACAATTCTGTGTCTGTCCCTGAGTAACAATTCTGTGTCCCTGAGTAAACATTCTGTGTCCCTTTATGAGTAAACAATTCTGTGTCTGTCCCTGAGTAACAATTCTGTGTCCCCTGAGTAACAGTTCTGTGTCCCTGGATAACAATTCTGTGTCCCTGAGTAACAATTCTGTGTCCTCAGTAACAATTCTGTGTCTGTCCCTGAGTAACAATTTCTGTGTCCCTGAGTAACAGTTCTGTGTCCCTGAGTAACAATTCTGTGTCCCTGAGAAACAGTTCTGTGTCCCTGAGTAACAATTCTGTGTCCCTCAGTAACAATTCTGTGTCCCTCAGTAACAATTCTGTGTCCTCAGTAACAATTCTGTGTCCCTCAAGTAAACAATTCTGTGTCCCTCAGTAACAATTCTGTGTCTGTCCCTGAGTAACAATTCTGTGTCCCTGAGTAACATTTCTGTGCCCTGAGTAACAATTCTGTGTCCCTCAGTAACAATTCTGTGTCCCTCAGTAACAATCTCTGTGTCCCTCAGTAACAATTCTGTGTCTGTCCCTGAGTAGCAATTCTGTGTCCCTGAGTAACAGTTCTGTGTCCCTGAGTAACAGTTCTGTGTCCCTGAGTAACAATTCTGTGTCCCTGAGTAACAATTCTGTGTCCTTGAGTAACAATTCTGTGTCCCTCAGTAACAATTCTGTGTCCCTGAGTAACAATTCTGTGTCTGTCCCTGAGTAACAATTCTGTGTCCCTCAGTAACAATTCTGTGTCCCTCAGTAACAATTCTGTGTCTGTCCCTGTGAGTAACAATTCTGTGTCCCTGAAGTAACAATTCTGTGTCCCTCAGTAACAATTCTGTGTCCCCTCAGTAACAATTCTGTGTCCCTCAGTAACAATTCTGTGTCTGTCCCTGAGTAACAATTCTGTGTCCCTCAGTAACAATTCTGTGTCCCTCAAGTAACAATTCTGGTGTCTGTCCCTGAGTAACAATTCTGTGTCCCTGAGTAACAGTTCCTGTGTCCCTGAGTAACAATTCTGTGTCCCTGAGTAACAGTTTCTGTGTCCCTGAGTAACAATTCTGTGTCCCCCTGAGTAACAATTCTGTGTCCCTCAGTAACAATTCTGTGTCCCTCAGTAACAATTCTGTGTCCCTCAGTAGTAACAATTCTGTGTCTGTCCCTGAGTAAGAGTTGAGAGTAGTGAATTTCTGTGTCCCTCAGTAACAATTCTGTGTCCCTCAGTAACAATTCTGTGTCTGTCCCTGAGTAACAATTCTTGTGTCCCTGAGTAACAATTCTGTGTCCCTGAGTAACAATTCTGTGTCCCTCAGTAACAATTCTGTGTCTGTCCCTGAGTTACATTTCTGTGTCCATGAGTAACAGTTTTTCTGTGTCCCTGAGTAACAATTCTGTGTCCCTCAGTAACAATTCTGTTGTCCCTCAGTAACAATTCTGTGTCCCTCAGTAACAATTCTGTGTCTGTCCCTGAGTAACAATTCTGTGTCCCTCAGTAACAATTCTGTGTCCCTCAGTAACAATTCTGTGTCCCTCATAACAATTCTGTGTCATGTCCCTGAGTAACAATTCTGTGTCCCTGAGTAACAGTTCTGTGTCCCTGAGTAACAATTCTGTGTCCTGAGTAACAATTCTGTGTCCCTCAGTAACAATTCTGTGTCCCTCAGTAACAATTCTGTGTCCCTCAGTAACAATTCTGTGTCTGTCCCTGAGTAACAATTCTGTGTCCCTCAGTAAACAATTCTGTGTCCCTCAGTAACAATTCTTGTGTCTGTCCCTGAGTAACAATTCTGTGTCCATGAGTAACAATTCTGTGTCCCTGAGTAACAATTCTGTGTCCCTGAGTAACAATTCTGTGTCCCTCAGTACAATTCTGTGTCTGTCCCTGAGTAACAATTCTGTGTCCCTGAGTAACAGTTCTGTGTCCCTGAGTAACAATTATGTGTCCCTGAGTAACAGTTCTGTGTCCCGAGTAACAATTCTGTGTCCCTGAGTAACAATTTCTGTGTCCCTCAGTAACAATTCTGTGTCCCTCAGTAACAATTCTGTGTCCCTCAGTAACAATTCTGTGTCCCTCAGTAACAATTCTGTGTCTGTCCCTGAGTAACAATTCTGTGTCCCTCAGTAACAATTCTGTGTCCCCTCAGTAACAATTCTGTGTCCCCTGAGTAACAATTTTGTGTCCCTGAGTAACAGTTCTGTGTCCCTGAGTAACAATTCTGTGTCCCTGAGTAAACAGTTCTGTGTCCCTGAGTAACAATTCTGTGTCCCTCAGTAACAATTCTGTGTCCCTCAGTAACAATTCTGTGTCCCTCAGTAACAATTCTGTGTCTGTCCCTGAGTAACAATTCTGTGTCCCTCAGTAACAATTCTGTGTCTGTCACCTGAGTAACAATTCTGTGTCCCTGAGTAACAGTTCTGTGTCCCTGAGTAACAATTTCAGTGTCCCTGAGTAACAGTTCTGTGTCCCTCAGTAACAATTCTGTGTCCCTCAGTAACAATTCTGTGTCTGTCCCTGAGTAACAATTCTGTGTCCCTCAGTAACAATTCTGTGTCCCTCAGTAACAATTCTGTGTCTGTCCCTGAGTAACAGTTCTGTGTCCCTGAGTAACAGTTCTGTGTCCCTGAGTAACAATTCTGTGTCACTTGGAGTAACAGTTCTGTGTCCCTCAGTAACAATTCTGTGTCTGTCCCTGAGTAACAATTCTGTGTCCCTCAGTAACAATTCTTTGTTCTGTGTCCCTCATAACAATTCTGTGTCCCTCAGTAACAATTCTGTGTCCCCTGAGTAACAGTTCTGTGTCCCTGAGTAACAGTTCTGTGTCCTGAGTAACAATTCTGTGTCCCTCAGTAACAATTCTGTGTCCCTCAGTAACAATTCTGTTTCCCTCAGTAACAATTCTGTGTCCCTCAGTAACAATTCTGTGTCTGTCCCTGAGTAACAATTCTGTGTCCCTGAGTAACAGTTCTGTGTCCCTGGTAACAATTCTGTGTCCCTGAGTAACAATTCTGTGTCCCTAAGTAACGATTCTGTGTCCCTAAAGTATCTGTGGCCCTAACTCTGTCCCCCTAATACAGAGAGGTCTGTCTCTCTTGAATGACCGGAGGCAAAATGGAGATTGTAAGATGGCCGCAATTTATAGCTCCACCATTACACAGTGCTGGCTGGCTGGCTGCTGATTGGCTAATGCGATCACATGTCATGAATGAATGCATTATGGGTCAGCGCACCTTATCTGCGCGCCTTCCCAGAAGATCCCCGCTCCGTCGCCACACATGTCGCCGCCATTTTTGGAAAAATTTTTCCTAATATTCGAAACGAATTCCACTTCGCCAAGTTCGATTCGCTCATCTCTAGTCAGGACCATAAATGACTGCCTTCTTCCTGTGCTCATGAACTATTTCCACTTCTCTTCCCCTTTTTTCCCTCTCTCTTTTAGGGGTCTACCTTTCTGTTTTCTTTTTCAGAGTAGGTCCCCTAGTTTGTAGGCCTATACTCAGCCCCAATGCACTCTTGAAATGGTTTACTTGGTGAATAAGTGATGCCATATGACCTGCTGATAGGACTCTCTAAGAGTTCACATATTCAATATTTCTTATATTTGATTCCTAAATATTACACAATTATGGCTATTTATTTATTTAATACAGGTGCTTATATAGCTCTGGGAATTTACACAGCGCTTTACACACAACACACACATATATAAATATATATTGTGCATCACAATCAATCCTAACCCTCAAGGAGCATACAATTAAGGTCCCTAACTCACATTCATACATCATACACATACTAGGGCTAATTTAAGACAGAGTCAATTATCCTACCAGCATGTCTTTGGAGTGTGGGAGGAAACCGGAGTACCGAGAGGAAACCACACACGGTACAGGGAGAACATGCAAGCATGGTTTAGTAACATTCTCGTAATGGTAATGGTCTCTATATCGAGACAATTTATACCTGTAAACCATTGCTTTTATTCTGTAATGTTTCTTAAATACAAAAAAATTTATTATAAAAAGGAAATGAGACTTTATCAAATAGATCGGCCAGCTTTTATATATATATATATATATATATATATATATAATTTTTTCCTGCTTAAACCTCTATTCAATAATTTACAGCAAAGCTTTGCAAGAGAGAAAGTCAATATCATGTATTCAGAATGCTGTACGAATTGTGAGAGGTACATCATGGCGATTCCCAACGTGTTCACAATTGTATTTTTATTTAAATATATTCTTTATAGAAATGTAATGTCCTAGAAAAAGACAGAAGATAGATAGAAAGAAAGAAAGAAAAAGAAAGATAGATAGATACATACTAGATTTATAGATAGACAGATAATATATTTATAGATAAATAAATAGATATATAGATAAATAGAAATATAGATTTATAGATAGATAGCTAGATAGATAATAGATTTATAGATAGATAATAGATTTATAGATATATAGATGATACATTTATAGATAGATTGATAATAGATAGATAGATAGATAGATAGATAGATAGATAGATAGATAGATAATAGATAGATAGATAGATAGATAGATAGATAGATAGATAGATAGATAGATAACAGATTTCTAGATAGATTGATAATAGATTTATAGATAGATATATAATAGATTTATAGATAGAAAAGATAAAAGATAGATAATATATAATAATAGATAGATAGATGGATAAAGATATCAAATATAATATAATATAATCAAATATAAGTTTATTTGTATTATTTATTTATTTATTTTTCTGCATTCCAAAGGCTGTTTTTTTTATTTTTATTATTTCTGAACATGTGGCCAGCGGCTGAGGACTCAAAGCCCCTCCTGCCACTGTTTCCCTGCAAGACAGACTGGGAAAGAGTTGGATCATGCCACAGCTGTATATCAATTAGAAAAAAGGGTACATAGAAGGGTTTTTTTAATAAAATAGTTACGGTGCCATCATCCACATACAGAAATAGAAGGGACAATGTCAATTAACCAAAAGACGCCCGGCCAATAGCCGTTTATCGGCCGGCAAAATGCTGTAGATTTCCGGGGTGGAGCCAAATGGCGTCCTCCCGGGCATGCACAGTTTTCGCACTTGCAGAGCCGCGCAGTGGCGCTATCTGTCACCGGCCGTGTACCTCGGACACGGCCGATGACAGATCTGAGTACCATCCCCCGTTGCCGGTACCATGTGACAGTCCATCTCCCACAGTTACTACCTTTTGTTACATCACAGTTGTATACAATGGATGGCTTCATTCATGCCATCCATTGTATACTAGTGTCTAGCTGTGAATGGTCACAGGGATCACATGCACATGTCATGTGATTAGCTGTGGGCAAATCACAGCTAAGCACAAAAAAAAAAAAAAAAAAAAAAAAAAATGAATCGATGTCATTCTGGTAAATGCTTGCTTATAGCAAAGTAATTCTTTGCTATAAGCAAACTGTGTAAAAAAAAAAAAAAAATACTGATCACTTCCCAAAAGTAGTACAATGTTACTAAGGTAACATTGTACTACTTTGGTCATAGTGAAATATGAAAAAAAAAATCTTTAAAAAAATAAAAAAAATATAATAATTTAAAATTAAAAGAAAAAAAAAAAAAAAAAAAAATTATATATATTTTTTTTTCATACTGTCAGTGTACCTGATCACCGCCATGCCAGTTATATGATGACGCTGTACTGCACTGGTGACAGTATGTAAAAAATAAATTGTGAAAATAATTGTATTAATTTTTTAATTTTCCGAAAAATTATGACAAAAAAATACAACTTCAAAAAACTCGCCATTCCTCTTATGAAGTACGTCGGACTGTCTACTTTGCAAAAAGGGGTCATTTGGGGGATATCTGTACTATTCTGACATTCTTGGACCTCAAGAAATTAGATTGGCTGTCAGTACTTCAGGATTGATCAATTTTCAGATCTATACCATAGTTTGTGAACTATATAACTTTACTACAAACTAAAAAATACATCCTAATTTAGGTTATTTTCACCAAAGACATGTAGCAGAATACATCTCGGCCTAAATTTATGAAGAACAATTATTTAATTGCAAACTTTTATAACAGAAACAAAGAAAACGTGTTTTTTTTTCAAAATGTTCGGTTTTTTTTGATAATTTAGCAAAAAATAAAAATCCTGGCAGTGATTAAATACCACTAAAAGAAAGCTCTAGTTGTGTGAAGAAAATGATAAAATTTTAGTTTGGGTACAATGTTGTATGACCGTGCAATTGTCATTCAAAGTGTGAGAGCGCTGAAACCTGAAAACTGGCCTGGGCGGGAAGGGGGTAAAAGTGCCCGATATTGAAATGGTTAAACAATGTGTGTGTTTAGTATCACTTTAACCAAAGACATGTAGCAGAATACAGTTTGACCTAAATTTATGAAGAGATTTTTTTAATTGGATACGTTTTTTAACAGAATTTAGAAAATATTTTTTTCCCCGAAATTTTCAGTATTTTTTTTCATTTATATAATAAAAATATATAAAAAAATAAATAAATAAATAAAACCCAGTGGTGATAAAATACCACCAAAAGAAAGCTCTATTTGTAAGAAAAAAATTACACAAATTTTATTTTCATACAGTTTTGCATGACTGCGCAACTGCCCGTTACAGTAGCACAGTGAATAGCAACAAATGCCCTGGTCATGAAGAGGGTAAAACCTTCCGGAGTGTAAGTGATGAAAGTGACAGTAAACTTTTTTTTTAACCTTTACCTACGAGTAGGCTTATATTAAAGCAGATGAAATGAATATCTATTAAATATGCACTGTTTAGGAGATATTTTATCTTTTTTAGAGCCGGCGCATGAGCTCTGAAGGAATGGCATACCCGTGCCTTTCCTACAGAGTATTGTGCCATGGCCCAGGACTCCCACGCACATGCCAGTCATGGCCAGAGCTCACCAACTGGGAGAAGATAGAAGTCTCTGCAGCGGTGACAGCACGCGATGCATACTAGCGCATTATGACATTACCTTGCATGGGGATTTTTAATTTTTTTTTCGTTACCTGCGGTTTACTACCACTTTAAGCAATGGGTGCCCAGTACATCATGGAACAAAAAAAAGTTCAAGTGAAAGCAGGACTTGAAAACGGATGATAGCATGGTGGTACTACACCCAGTAGTGCAAGGCAAGTGTGTCCTATTACTGATGGGTGGTGCACCTGTCGCTGGAGACCATTAATCAAGATGGCAGACAACAGTGTCAGTGCGTGCATGGAACAGTGTGTGGTGCAGGGGCGGACTGACCATTTGTAAACTCGGGCACAGCCCGAGGGCCCAGGGTCAGTAGGGGAGATGCTCCTGGTACCTTTTTCATAGGCTTTTTTGAGTTTGGGCAAGGATACAGGGGCCCCATGATCCCCTATTGCCCGGGGGGCCCCATGAGTTGTCAGTCTGCCCTAGGGCGACTACGAGAAGTTAATTTTTTCTCAATTCTTTAATGTATGTTCCTTAACCCCTTCACGCCGGATCGTCCCGGAGTGAAGAGGAGTTCCTGCGCCGGGAGG